TAAATGCGCCTGCTCAATGCTAGATGGCTTCTTGCTTTTCTCTTGGTAATTTTCAATATTTGTAGTATTTTCCACTCCGGACCTGGATTGCATATCAGCAACAGATAATTTCTCCCGACACTCATGTTCATATTCTTCCCGCTTCTCCTGCTTGGACACATTATCCAAAGTTTTTTCCATGCTTGATGTCATAGCATCTACTGCTTTTGCAAGATCAAGTTCCTTCTCTGCTGCTTCTGAAAAAGTATCACCACCTTCTTCAGAGACAGAGAGCGACCTTAGAAACTGTTGAACTGATGTAATATCAGTCATTATGCCATCAAGCAAGTAACAACAAATGGCATAAATTTATACAGGCTGAGTCTATTTGTAGAAGATATTAAAAAGAAAAGAACTGTTTTCCCTTCCGCTAGAAGAATTTATAAACAAAAGCTACAAAGTCCTGTCTGAAAAATAGTAGAGTTTGGTGTGCTTGTTATGGCGATGAAATCATTTTCCAGTGTTTAGTAACCTTAAATAGTTGAAAATGTTTTTCCAAAAGAAAGGAAATCATTTTCTTTATAAATATGTTAATTCTTATGTCATGTAGCATGCTTCAATCAACAAGTAGACATCCTTGTCACCTTTAATTTTTAAACATAACGAAAACACAGTCATGATACCTATCTTCCATTTTATACTATTACCATATATCACATACTTTTAGACCTAATCAACACTGAAAAATGATTCCCAAATACACGATTTAATTTAACGCCACTTATAACTAAACATCTCTAATGATCATCAACATAAGCACAATGCTAATTAGAAAACTAACCGCTCCCACGTGATGCTTTGGTGATGAAGACCCAGCAGTTTCTTCTAGTCCAGGCCATGCTTTTTTATCAATCTCTAGAAATCTGCTCACCACAAAAATTCAAAATACAACTTGAATAAATTAGTGTCTATTGAATGCTAATTAAAATAAAACACGGCTTAATCGAAATCGAAAATTAGAGGTATAAGAAAGCAGAAGGAATTAACTGGAAAAGTGGGCGAAGGAGGCCGCATGATTCGTTAACCCAAAGTTGAGGACCTTCGGAGACGGAATCACTACTGCTGCTATTGCTAATGCGATCGTCCTCGTCGGACGGAAAACCCAACGGACTAGTTTGGTGGATCTGGGCCTGGTGAAGGGCTAGCCCGAACAGAGCTCCCGCTGCGTACCTTTGCATTGGCGTCAATGTCGAAGACGACATCGTCGTTGTTTGAACAACAAACGAGTTTCAACTTCCTTGTGAGTGATGAGTATAGCGTTCCACTGATCAAATGGAAATTTATGGAAAACTATATGGTATCTCGGGCGTTCAACTTACAAAGCTCTATTTCGTTAATGCGGTGAAGTATGACGTCGGACATGTGATTGCCACCTTTATTTATAGTCGACTTTAAGCCGGCAACATTTGTTCTTTTTTTTAAAAAAAAACTTTTTCTTATGAATGAGAGGAAACAGAAGGTAAACAAAGAACTTTCTTTGGTGGAATTTAACGGTAGTATCTAATAATGCAGTTAAGCAAGAGTCAAAATTGTTAATAATTAGACTGCAATTCTAATGTCACCTATACAGATACTGTACTTGTTACAGTAAGTTCTAAACTGACTTAGCATCTTACTGTTACCAAAAATAATACTCCATCCGTTTTTGCACCTATTAAATTAGCTACGGAATTTTTAAAAAAAAAAAGAAATTTTAAAACAAGTTACATATATTTTGTATAGCTATAAAAGTTAAATTGTTTTCAAATATGGAAAGAGGTCATTCATTTTAGGAGTTATTTCGCGTACCAAATACTAGTTCCGCAATGTTATATTTAATAGAAATATTTTCCATTGAACTGCCTTCGGTGGACAAGTACAGGAGCTATGGGTGGCAAAGCACACGAGCTAAGAAGGTCAAATGTTAAACGCAACAGGTAATAATTTTAGAGGACTAACGGAGACAATCCACGCTCTGTAATATCAATTAACCAGTTCTTATCTGAGAAAGAAAGGAGATTTGCAAGTTTACGCATTCATTTTTTTGTAATCTCAAATTAGTCCGCAACTCCAAACAATTCTTCTGAAAACAGAAACTCGCGCTTCTGGATGTAAACATAAAATACAAGGTTATAACTTATAAGATCACCACTGCAGCTTCTACAAATGGCCGATAGTCTTCCTTATCAAAAATAACATGTTGAAATGTATACAAATATAAGTAGTATTCTATTTAGGTCTGCACGTAAATTTCACCTACTTAACACACTGGTCCGGAAGAAAAAAATTGCATTCTGCCATTTTTAACTGAAACTTTTCAGTTAAATTATACTAACGTTTTAGCTACATGTCAATTTCTTAAAAGAATTTCTGATTATACAAAAAGAAAGCAATTGCCTTCAGTTTACACCTTCACGGGTGTAGATAGTCACAAGACGACCCCTTCTTGCAACGCCCACTCTCATAAAATTTACAAATTCGCTGTCCTTTGGGAGGAGGCCTAGAGTATCCTCCACCACCATATGGCTGCTGTCTGTTCCAAGATGACCTGCCCCTACCAAATCCCGACTCTCCTCCTTGAAGAGCCCACTCTCTCGGACCACCAGACCTTTCCCCTGCATACCTCCGCTGGCTATCCCACACTGGATTCCCAGTGAAAGGGGCGCCTCGATTCATATGTGAATTTCCCCATGCAGCTCCCATGCTGCTGCTAAAACCAACATTTGCATATCCCTGAACTGGTCCACCCCATATCGTGTTTCCAGGTGCTGCCCCACGGCCACTCGTCATACCTTCCAACCCTGTATTCCGACCCATAGCAGAAAATGCAGTAGTTTGACTAATGGTACAAGGTATATTGGACCCAGCGTCCCCCTGGGAAAACAAAACATCAGCGGACTTGGTTTCTCCTTCACTACTCGTAGATGAATTTCCACCGGACCTCCTTAATGGATCAAATGCATCAGCTCGAGATGCCCCAACTGTTTCATCCGTCACAGTAGATTGACAAGGTAATTGTAGATCTCCGGTGGAGCTCAAGGCATCACTTCTTACAGGATCATGTGTACGACCCAGCTCCTCAATCGGGCTAAAGCAGTCATTTCTGCAACCAGGTATCATCTCCTCACCGCACCTCATGGCAGAAGTAGGGGAACCCATATTATTTTGATTTTGAGACTCCATGGCGTCAACTTCAGCCAACAGGTCTGACACTGATTCCTCAGCCAAAGTGCTGAACTCTATAGGCTCGCCAAAAAAGTTTGACACTGGATGAGATGGGGAAGTATGATTAAGTTGGTCGGCATTTGAAGTAGGCGTTGCAACATGATCACCCACTGCTTCAGCTGGTTTTGGTGAGGAAACGGAGACAAGACCAGAATCCCATTCTTCAGTAGTAGATGGTTTTGCAGTAAGTTGGTCCGCATTCGAAGTAGGTGAGGCAACATGATTACCTACTGCTTCAGCCGGTTTCAGTGTCGAAGAAGAAACTATACCAGAATCCCATTCTTCAGTAGATGGTTTTGCAGTAAGTTGGTTTGCATTTGACATAGGTGTGGCAACATTATTACCCACTGCTTCAGCTGGTTTCTGTGAGGAAGCAGAGACGATACCAGAATCCCATTCTTCAATAGATGGTTTTGCAGCTGGTGAACTTCTACCACATCCATCTATTTCGCGAAGTTGGACTCCACCAACCACTAAACTAGAAGCACTGCTCCAATTATGGCCTGATTCCTGAACAGGAAGACTTGATGGAACAGATTCTCTATTTTCAGCTGCATGCCCGCCTTGAGTTTCACGGTCTGAAATAGGGGTCGGACTTGGCAAATCATGATTATCTGAACCACAAACAGGAATAACAGAACTCAACAAAAGCAGTTTCTCAGCAGCCTGAGCTTCAAGTTCACCATAGCTTGTCTCTGGAGTAGGACTAGGTAGGTCTGGAAGACTCATGTTTCCTTTCTGTTCAAATGAATCACTTGATTTGGTAGCTGAAGCAAATCTAGATCCAGAATCCAGGTTAATTGTATATCTATTACTGGTAAAGGATCCTGGGTTCTGCGCCAAAGACGAGCCTAAATTCCGGCTGTTAGACTGTGTATTATGACCACAACCATCATTTATCTGGCACATTGCGCTTCCACGTGAATTCTGAGTTCCATGATCTGTAGCAGGACGACAATTATCATTTGCATTTCCTCTTTCCTGACGTGGAAGAGCTAAAATCACCTCCCGCTGACTAGATGAAGGGACAGGGCTCGACAATTGGGGTTTGTCAGAACAAGAACTATTTCCCTTCAATGAATCCAAGCATTGTGGAGAAGAAGGGGATAACCCATTCATCATCGTAAACTCTGTGTTACCGTTTGAATGATAATTTGCTTTGTGGGGGTGCCCAGGAGCCTCTCTTTTTCCACATTCTCCCCCTGAGCCAGTAGCAGTCTCAGACCACCTAACACTAGTTCTACTATCCGAGGCAGCTGGTTCCTGTGACTGGCTTGATGTCTGACCATGCACTTGAGGTTCTTTATGGAAAAGCCCCTTTAACGCATTCGTTAAAAGTATCGAGTCGTCATGCTCATGATTTGTCCATATCCTCATTTCAGGAGGAAAAAGCCCTGATGTATTCCATTTCCTCAACTGCATAACGGAAAATGGTCCTTGGATTCTACCAGCAGGGTCTCGGTAATGCCACAGTTTGTCAGTTTCAATACTGTTAGCGGATGACAAGTTCACCGTAGAGAAACTAGCAATTGAAGTTTCAGATCCAGACCTATCGACGGCCTGTTCAGCAGTAAGTCGATTTCCTAGCTTGTCCAAGATATTATATCCACAAGCTTCTCTTTTCTCACTCATTCTACATCGAGCCATGATAGATCCCTCTTCTTTAGCTGGATAAACACAAGAAAACCCTTTAGTTAGCTGACGCTAAACCAACTTTTGAAGGACTTCATAGTACAATCTTTATCTTACCTAGACTTCCTGAAGACATAAGTTTTTCATCCCTTCTACTAATTCTAGTGCATCTTGGTGCCAGATACTCAACTGCATTATATTCCATCAGCAATAAGCAACCATTTTATTTCTTCCTCACCTCCAATCCCCAACCCCCATCCCACAAATAAAAAGGGAAAAAAGTTTAGCAACACCCACGGAGTTACTGGAAACAAAAAGATATAAACCTTTTCTCTTGTAATTGGATCCTCCATCATCTCCCTCAGATTCATAATCTGGGTCCATCTTTGGATCAGCATGCACTTCTGGAATTTCCAGTAGCCTCCGCTGGCGCTCCTCAGGTGTCTTCAGAAGCTCTAACTTCTCTATACATTCTCTGAGCGTAGAATTGTCAAGGAAGTCATCATGCTCAAGGTCAATGTTCTCCAGTTAATGAATACACAAAATGAAAAATTTATAAATATCAAATGGTGCCTCAGCTTTTTCAGTTGAGGCATCAAATCTGATTTTGGCATGTTAAGAACTATCAATGCATATTGCTTCGACAAAGGATATTCTTTCTTGTGCCCCTTCTCACTTGCTCTATCACGAAGATGATTGAGGCGCAATATCTCTGCTTCCAGGGACTGTATTTTAAAATAAATAAGCACAAGCACATCAAAAGCACCATATTTATAACAATCTTTAATGCAAAAACGTAACAGTTCCGCGATAGCAGCTAACAATTTGTAATGTTCTGAGGAAGAGCAGCATATACTTATGGAGTTCACACTACAATGCATGATCAGTTACCATCTCATCGCAGTTAATCTCTCTACATTTTCCTTTTTTCCTTTTTGGTGTGGTACCTTCTTGAAACCTTTGACACAAAGATCATGAACAAAATAAAGGACACTAAAACAAAAGGGACCTCTTGACAGATCACTAATTTTTATATTTACTTTTTAAATTCAGATTTACTTTATTCTGTATGTTTGAATTTCTACGCAGGACGTATATCCACCTCCAATGCCAAGAACACTATGAAATGTTACAATTGTCTAACACTTTTTCCTTGATATATCCTTTTCTTTTACTTGGTCAACCCCATCCCTCACCCCCTTATTTAGAGCCAACAGTGTTTTTCCAACATTTTCCCTTAGGTGACTTGAATTTCCCACTCTTGGTTGGAAGTGGAATGCTCTTACCACTAGAAGATCACTTTTGTCAAACTTGTTGGTATAACATATTTGCATCAAGTTATGCCTATTTTACATATTCTATATTATTATCGTTATTATTATTATTATATTAAATGTATATCTACCAATATCTAACATGATTACTACTCAAACTTCTCTTATAAATTTGCTGATCAAAGGTCGAGGACTAGAAAGGGAATCTATAAGCTCAAAGAAAAGGTGTCTTCCAATTAATTTAAATAATCCTCCAATTGAGAGTGCATCAAGTCATGAGTAACCTGCCTTTCTGCAAGACTCTTTGTTCTACTGAGTTCAGAATAACAAAGATAACCGGTACCCTCAGATTCAGACTACTACATCTACTTTATGAAGAAAGAACAAGCCATCCATTCCACAAGGAGAAAAGCACGGTGGTTTTTTGCAGCAGATGCAGAAGAGGTAGTACCAATTTATATTAACCAGCAGAGAATGTGCTTGCCAATTCAGAAGTCTCACAGGCACCTCTCATAAATTTTATAATAATGGGATCTTTGCCATAATGAGATACTAATGAACAGGGTGAAAATAGGACAGGACCTAGAAATACAGAACTGTTGAAAGATAGAGTCAGGTCATACAAGTTTTAAGGAAAGAATAGTAAATTAGCTTCAGGAGATGAGAAGCCAAAATCACTATTAAGAGAAATGAACAGCAAAAGCAATTGACATACATCATTGAGTTTTACTGCCCGGAGTTCCATAGCTTTCTTCTGTATCTCACCCTGCATTAGAGGGTCATTTAAATTAGAAAATTTTCATTTACCATAGCAAAAATTTTAATACTCAGGTTTGAACACTTACTACAGTAAGCCGTTTCACAAGCCCACATTTTATACTCTGACGTAGTCTTCTGCATTCATCCTGAAATGACAAAATTACGCAATCACATAAGGCCCACAAAATCATGCTGAAACAACTGGAAACCTAGACCCTTGAAAAGATGAAATTCTGTGTAAAGGGCTGCCAGAATTAGAAGTGGAAACTTTTTTATGATAGAATAGCAATTTATGTACAATTTCTGTAAAATGTGAAATAAGCTTTTCCCATAATGCGCCTGAATTTCATCGTCAGCAGCTGACAAAATAAACTCAGCTTGCCATTCATCGCAATGTTACAGAAGACAAGGAAAGATACAAAATATAAAACATAACAAGAAAAAAACAGATTTCCTTCATATAGGCCACTTCAGCACAAAATTCAAGTCTAATAAAAATCTCTAGACCTTCCAAAGCAAAAAACAAGGGTGCTGATTCATTCATGGGGCAATCTTTGGCCAAGCCACTCTCTTCAGAGATGCATGCAATATTTATTACATAAAGAATCTCATGACCACATGCTGATTGACTAAATTCAACATCGAGCAAGAAAAGCTGCCAGACCATTCCCAGGTTGTAGAACAGCAGAAGATAATAAAGACAGCATATATGGCGCATGTCATACCAAAAACCACCAAAATGACACCATATCATGGCATGTGTCAATGTCAGACAGACCGCTTGCAATGGTAAGTGATAACAAGAGGCCGATTGGTACTCCATCAATACAACCATCTCGAACTAGCTCATCCCCTCAATGCAACTAAATTTAGTTTTTTACATTTACGATACATGTATCAGTACCAGACAGACAGCTTGAATGGGTAAGAAGGGTAAAAGGTGATACCAAGAGGCTGATTGGTCTAAAAATACATCCACCTCCAACCCAGTCCTCTTCCCTCGATGCAACTAACAAACCCACTTAATTTTTCAAATTCACATCTAATACTTGTTGGGTAACTTTTGAAGTGCTTTATTTATGAAAGCTGCATCTGAAAAAACTCTCTCAATTCACAATCATACGCCGAATACCTAAGACCAGATGGAACGTACTCAACGCTGCTCATGATCCCCTTACAATTCCATCCTCAAGTTCCCAGTATTACGATCTCATCTCATATCTGAGTGCATCATATATTCACATTAAATGGACTAATTCACAAAAATTATACTTGCTACATGCAAAACTGCCCGGGCCTGTGTGAGCTAAATGTTCCTTCAGTCATAGCTTACATGGTATATATTTCATCTATAGGATGCCAATACAGCTGTTGTTTGTGCTACATTACTTAAGGTAAAAAGTACTAGCACGGCCTAATGTGAAAATGAGCAGCCCAAGAAAAACACTACACAAGATTGAGCTACAATACAGAACAATAAAGATGAATATCACCTTATCTGCTGCAATATGTACTGGTAAGCAAGATTTCTTTAACAATGTCATAGTAAGAGGAAGCAATTCACAAATAGATGAACAAGGAAATGTGTTGTATCTTAATTACCTCACAGAAATCTTGATTTGAAATAGAATCAATGGATAAGGCTTCTTTCTTGTCTAAGTTCAATACTTCAAGTAATACATCAACTGTCTTATCTCTAATCTTATATGGCTCAGATGACTTACTTGTACCTGCATTAAAGGAACCACAAGCTCCATAAACTAGAACAAGATTACATTACATACTGTGGTTAAAAAGCTTCATGATCAATTTGTACCTACAACATGGACAAGCCTGTAGATTTCCTGCTTCTGATCGTTGCCAGGTATTCTTATGCGGACAACTGACCCAATAACTCTGTCATGGAACTTCTCCACATCTTCAGCAAGAGTTTCCATCAAATCACGCCTCAAATATATGAAGTTTATATTGTGAGCATCAATTGCAGCATATTCATCCAGATTAATCTGGGTCATTTTTACTTCACCATTTTTACGAGTTCTACGTTTTTTAGATGAAGAAATATCATTACTATCATCAGGTTCCACATGGCTAGTCATTGTTCCGACAATTCCAGCTGGTATAAAAGCACTCTTCTTTGACTCCTCCTTTATCAAAAAGTGAAACTCAAGAAGCTTCAGCATTTCTATGTGGCCAACGCGTGGCTTTCCGAAAAGGCTTTTGAGCCTCAAATCACAAATTATTTGGCTCTTCCTTCGAGGGTCTCGAAGATTATTTCTCTTAATATAGTCGAGCAAAAGTGCCTGGACATCAAACTGAGATATAGCAGAGGTATCACCATCCTTCATATGTGCAACAAAATCCAAAAGCTCCTTTGACGCCCACTCCATGCATCCGTTCACTGATGTCTCCGCAACAGTGCTTTCCTGTTTTGACCTCAAACAATCTTCATTCTGAACCTTTAACTCTTGAACAGGCTTGGTTAGCTCTAAAAGAGGAGTAGAACTGAGAATGCTCGCGTTACCAGAGTCTGAAACTGCTCGGATTTCAGCAGTTGGAGGATCCTTTTTAGATAGTTCTAACGGTTCTATGGGTTTCTTCTGCTCTATATAGTCAAATGACTTGCCTGCAACACTTTTGCCATCATTTGCAACATAATGACCATAAGGCATTAGCTGCCGCTTACCATGTACTGCAACACTTTTGCCATCATTTGCAACATAATGACCATAAGGCATTAGCTGCCGCTTACCATGTACTGCAACACTTTTGCCATCATTTGCAACATAATGACCATAAGGCATTAGCTGCCGCTTACCATGTACTGCATCTGATTCTTTCCATGGATTTTTAGCTTGAAGAAGTTCATCGAGTGTTAATGATAGTTTTTCCTTTAGGATTACCCAATACACCTTAAAGAGATATTCCCAGCTGCTTTTGTCATCAAAATCTACCTGAACCTGAGTAGTTTTTAGGTAAATCAAATGAAGTATAATGAACAGTCAAAACTTAGCCCAAGATTACTTTAAGGAGATAAAAGAAAAGATAAGTACACAATAATAGAATTAAACATGAAAATCTCATGCAAAAACTATGTGTAATCTGGAAAGACATCATAAGATCAGTGCTCGAAGAACAAATTGTTTATTCACAGTTAAACTGGTCCTCTTCTCTCTTTCGATAGATCCTTCTTGCTTTGGCTTACCAAAGATATATTTGACTTGGCACCTTCTAGGTTTATCTCTATAACAAAAGATAGAACTGATAACCAGACTGTGTCCTGATCCTCCATTTCCACAAATAAAGGCATTAATCATTCTTGGGAGAATGTATCTTACTCAAAGTAAACAATCAGGAACCTTATCACAGAGAAAATAACAAGATATGATAATCACTTGCAAAATTAAGCATCCCTATTGAGATCTTACAGTACATTGGACATACCATTTCCTTATTTGCCTGGTCTTTGTTCTCAATAAGCATGATAGTTCTCATGCACGTCGAGCAAAAACCCTTGTTTCCTCGAACACACAAGTAATCAGCATTTTTTGTACATGCCTTGCACAATGAATACGTACAAGTATAGCACAGGTAGTGGGAAGCTTTTTGGCACACACTACAAATATGCCAACCTGAAAACAGAAGTAATATAAGGGTGCTGTATCATTCTGGGGCCATTGGTGTTGATCACATGCTTCATGTAGAAAATACAACAAAATCTCTTGTAGTTCAAATAAAAGAAAAAGTACTAAGTGAAAAATAAAAGCAACAATATTAAGCACTAGCAGACTCTGATACTTTGATATTTTCTAGTTGAAATTTTCAGAATCTTTTTTTGCTGTTCCAACCCTGCCGTGGATATAAAATTCCCTGATATCCCAAACCTCCTCAACTGTCCTCGAATGTATCAACTATGACATACGGAGACAAATTTTTAAATGAATACTTACACCGCTTGCAGCATCATTCAGGCAGTACATTAATCAATACCAAAAACTGGATTTAACAGCAAAGTTTTCTAAGCAACATAATAATGATTTTTTTCCAAGAGGCTCCCAACTTAGTTACATTTCCATACTACTTTTCGTGATGTCCTATTCTATTCCAATTGCCTAAGCCCCCCTTATAATAGAACAATCACANGGAGAGAGGGAGGGAGAGAAGGTTATTAGCAATTATATGAGCTTGTTTACTAATATAGGAATACCCACACATGGTGTGAAAGATTGCCCGTAAAAACCATAGGCAGTTTGTGGAAGTAGCAATCTAGGACTTCATATTTATCTCAAGAAAGGACAGTGAATAAGAAAAGCATCCAAAGATATTTCTGTTCTTCAGGAAGGATATCAATGAGCAGAAGAAACATAACATAATGATGGGGCAGCGTGTATTACATGTCCCCATCAAAATTCTCAATATGCAGCAACAATATTACGTTTGAAGTTTGCAGCTGAAACCTCTTCTAGTCACAAAATTGTAATGTACAACATTCAAGACTCGTTCTAGAACTATCAGTTAAGGCATGTCATTACATTTATTTCTATAATGTAACAGCATGAATTATGCCATGCAACCCATACGCCTTAATGCACGATGCTCAATAATCCAAAATTCTCTCCATCTAAAATAGAATGTCATTTACTAGTTCTCTCTTAGCATGAAACAAAATAATTTCCAAATTTATATTAAACCATCATGAGAATAAATAAATACAGTATAAACAACCCTAGCAACCAAAGAACTATATGAGCTGAACAGATTCTTCATGTGAGTAAAGAAGTAAGAGAACACATACCGCAGTTCCATTTTGCCTTGGAGCGAAAAAATGCCTCATCCCGCTTAATACAAGCTGGATGATATGCCTTTGGACACCCCCTAACCATTAAAGAAACAGCATTAACACAATTATGCTTTTCAAAGAAAGATTACCATTATTGTGAAGCACTACTAATTCTTTCAATACTTTTAGCTCAAATTGAAGTAAATTTCACATCCGAAAAGCATAAGAGCACTTCAAAATGGAAGCTAGAGAGTGAAAAACCAGCTTCACTTACTTGCGATCGCAAAGTACAAGAGAACCACCATCGAAACATATGAAGCAAACATCTTCGTCCTCTTCTCGCGGTTTCTTTGGCGGCGGAGGCTTTGCCAGCGTCGTGTGGAAACGAGGCGGCCGCCCTCGCTTCCGCTTCTCGACGCCGTCGCCGATCACGTTTGCAACTGAAGTCCTGCCATCTACAGCTACCGTAATCGGAGCACCTCCGGTGACCGCAGCCGGAACTCCGACCAGCTGAAAATCGTCCATATACTGCACGGAACTACACTGTTCCGAACCTTGTAACCCCATGGATGTTCCGGTACTTCCATCGAAACTTAGACTATGTGCTTGTTGTACACATGGTCGGTACAACTCCGAGCTGGAATTACCACCATCCATGGAGAAAATTGAGCTCCGAAAGAATCGTATTCAAAACCCTAGACTACCGAATTGCGTAGCGAATCGAGAAAATGGAGCAGGTGATCATTGACCTAAGCGACGTCGTTTGAACAGACGAAGAAAATTCAGAGACGAAATGAGAGAGATTAGGAATTGAAAGAGACGGTGGTGAGGCGCGATTGGTTGAGGCAAGTGTGCGTGTAAATTGAAAATGCGTATGTGAGAGAGAGAGAAGAGTAGTGTTACTCTCCTGTTATGTTAACCTTTCGGCGAAACAAAGACTCCTATCAATAAACACATGGGAAGCGGCTCATGTGGGTTTGTTTTTCTACTACTACCCTTGTTTTGGGTCTTTTCGTATGACTGCATTCTTTGTTTCCACCGTATTACCAACACGTGACTTGGTTTCCAACTAGGAGTAGTACTTTATTTTTTGGTCAATTTTGTGCTTTTCTGTTTTTCATTTGGAGGTCTTTCATTCTTTGCTTTTGCTTTTGCTTTTGGTTAGTGGGTCAGATTACAATTGGGTTGGGTTTTTAGTTTAAGTTTTGGTAGTCAGCCGGCACAAGTACTGTCTAATGCCTATACTCCATCATCTTAACATGCCTTTTTCACTACAAGAATCTATCAGCACTTTTTATATACTGTATAGGTTTGCAGTATGACCGTAATCTTTTCTTATTTTGAAAAAGCCTACCTTTTTTGCAGAAGACAGCTGCGACCTTACACTTTGCATCATTGTTTATCAACAACCGATATTTTGCATTTATTATGCCTTTTGATTTCTGGTATTTCTTGACTTCACTGATATGGAAATTTTCCTCTTGCTTGTGTTGGTTTACGCCAACTCAAATTCTTACTATAAACAAATTTTGTTAACTCAACCTAAAAGAAAACCTTACAAAATAAATCTATCTTATAAGTAACTATGTCTTTTGTGTAACTGTCAAACATAACATTACACTGTAAATTATGTGATTCGTAAATTTGAAAGAGATATTTAGCACAAACAGCATCACATAGATAAGTATTTTGTATTTACTAAAGTGACTTACGTACTATTATTTTAATCTGATACACGACGAAGAGGGATTTGCATAAATGGGTAAAATGTATAAATAAATGGTTTATATATCTATCTAGATACTAATACGAGTATCTCGCTCTTTAGCAACTCTGAGTTATGAATTATGTGTGAAGATTCCAATAATTGGATAGATATATGTTTTTGTTGCGTCCCTAAGTGGAAACTGGAAAGGCACTTTTGTCTCTGCTTTATTTATAAGTTACCATTGGTGTACCAATAATAACATCTGTCTAAGTAGGGAAATGCAATTGTAAATCTAGTAGGAACACTTGTCATATGATTTTTTTTTTAACAATTCCATCATCATAATAGAGGAGTTAAGGCATGACTCCAACCTATATATGTGTGTGTGTCAAAAATCATAATTACACAAAGGAGGACATTGACCATGGCCTCCAAAACAGTGAGGTAAGTGATTGGACTCACCCTATGATATATAATTGACCAAAATAAATTAGGTAGGTTAAGAAGGTTGTGATTCCTCCGAGAGTTTGTAGCAACACACATGGATGCTCTGTACAAAAAGGTGCTAGTGAGGAGTTTATTGCTAAGTGTTGTCATTGATAACGAACTTGCTCTTCTTTTGTCTAAATCTGAAGTTAGGTATCTCATCACCTTCTAACTTCATTGAATCTCTAATATTCATAGGTAATGATACAACCTCATTGAAGATAGAAATAGTTTTGGATTCTTCACCCAAGTTAGCAAGCATGTTGGTAGAGTTGTTTCCTTCCCTCAAGGAGTGTCAAAAGACATAGTTACGATCCTTAGTCATGGTTTGAATCTACTCAATAATATCATTGAATCTCCAGGGTGGTTTCCTGATTCTTTTGATCAAGCTTAGAATAATCGTCGAGTCATATTCGACTGTAACATTTGTGAGGCCCATTGTAATACACATTTTGATGCCTCGCATCATAGCTTTAGCTTCCGCAATATTGCAACTACAATCTCCATAGAATTCTGTAAAAGCACCCATCAACACACCATTGTGATCTCTGATAAGACCACCACCACCTGCCGAGCTTGGATTACCCTTGTTGCAACCATCAGTATTGAGTTTAAACCAGTTTGTTAGAGTTTATGCCAATATACGATCTGACAATGGATAGCAGGGGAGAGCTTCTCAATTTTACTGTAAGTATCATGCCACATGTTTGTCAATTGCAAATCTGGGAAACTCGTATGGATAAGCATATTTATCATCTTGATCACTTGCTGGATGATGAAGCAATGTGACATGTGCTTTTCGTCAAACCTAGCCGAACATCTGTTCTTCCAAATCTGCCAACATATGATTAAAGAAAGGCATTGAAGTACTGCCTTATGGACTTCATTTTTGGGCTTAGTCAACCACCACCTCATAACTCTCTGTCTTACCTGGACTTGGACCAACCTGATACCACATGTGACGACCCGGCCAGTCGTCTCATGAGTTACTACTCTGTTTTCCCCAATTATGTTTTTTTATGCTTTGTTTATCCGTGTTATGTAGTATCGGATTGGCCGGATCGAATCCGGAATGATTTTGGTAAGGTTTGAGACACATAGTCTCTTTTGAGGAAGCTTAAGTTGGAAAAGTCAACCGGATGTTGACTTATGTGTTAGAGGACTCGGATGTGAGTTTCGATGTTCGGTTAGCTTCAGGAGTTGATTTGTGACTTAGGAGCGTGATCGGAATGAGTTTTGAAGGTTCGAAGTACATTTAAGCTTGAATTAGTGAAGTTGATATTTTGGCGATTTCTAGTTAGTAGGCGAGAGTTTGATGTAGAGGTCAGAATGGAATTCCGAGAGTTGTAATAGCTCCGTTATATCATTTGGGATGTGTATAAAAAATTTCAGGTCATTCGGACGTGGTTTGATTGGGTTTTTGATCGAAAGCGTAATTTGGAAGATTTTAGAAATTTTGGCTTGAATCCGATGTATTTTGGTTGATTTGATGTTGTTTGAGGTGTTTTAATGATTGGAACAAGTTTGAATAAGATATTGGGATATGTTTGTGCTTTTGGTTGAGGTCCCGGGGGCCTCGGGGTGATTTCAGATGGTTGACGAAAAGGTTTGAGACTTGTGAAGTTGCAGAATCTCAGCTGCTTCTGGTATTTCTGCACTTGCGGATTGGGGACCGCAGGTGCGACACCGCACGTGCGTAAGAGGAGCCGTAGAAGTAGATTTTGGAGGAATCGTCAGGAACTGCAGATGTGGTAGTGTGACCGCACCTGCGAAGGTGAAGGTGCGGAGAGTTGACCGCAGATGCGGATTGGGACATTTAAGTGAAGAACCATAGAAGCGGTAATTTGGCCTCATATGCGGTACCGCAGAAACGGGTATTGTGTCGCAGGTGCGAAAAGGCCTGGGCAGAAAGTATAAATTGTGGCCTTCGCTAATTTTGAGCTATTTCACCATTTTTATCTCGGCTTTGGAGCTTTTTGGGCGATTTGAAAGAGGAATTTCAGTGGAACTTCATTGAGGTAAGGAATTTGGACTTAAAACTCGTTCCTATGCTATTATTTCACGGAGAGCTAGAAATTATGGAAATTAAGGGCGAAAATTGGGGAAATTAGGGCTTGGGAATTTAGGCCTTTAATTTAGGATTTGAAGGACCATTTGGGGTCGGATTTCTAAACTTTTGATATGTATGAACACATGGGGAGATAAGGAATCTATTGATGTAAAAATTATTGAATTCCGAGACGTGTGCCCCGGGGTCGGGTTTTGGTAATTTCGGGATCTGTATCATATTTTGATTATTTTTGCTTGGGCTTCGTTCCCTTAGTATATTTTGACGTCCTCATTATGATTTTGGATAGATTCGACGCGAGTGGAGGCCGATTCGAGGGTCAAAGGCGTCGCGAGCTAGGGATTTGACCGGTTTGAAGTGAGTAATGATTGTAAATGATGTTCTGAGGGTATGAAACCCCGGACTTGCACATCGTTGCGCTATATTGAGGTGAGGCACACGCTTGATGACGATCATGGAGTCGTGTACTGTTGGGGATTGTGATTTAGTCCATCCCGAAAGGCTATTTTATCGCGTATTTGACTGAAATCTATTTGCTATCAGCATGATTCGGGCTGAATGCCATATTTGGGCCTTGTGTCAACTACTTGAACCCTTCGGGGATTTTTACTGGTATTTCCTCACTGTTTTGACTTTATACATGAACTCGGTCATGCTATATTTCATTGTTTTCGTACTCAGCCATGTTTACTTTGTTTTAAACACTTACATGATCTTTTAAATGATATTTTTGGGCTGAGAGACATATTTTACTACTGCCCGAGTGGCTTGTGAGGATTTTGACTGAGTAAGGCTGAGGGCCTATGTTGTGAGGATTTGATATTAATTATGAGGCTGAGGGCCTAGTGATAATGTCACGAGGTGGCTTGATATTGTGCTTGGGCCGTAAGGGCCCCCTCCAAGAGTCTGTACACCCCCAGTGAGTGCGGGTACCTATTGTGATGTGAGATTGAACCCGAGAGGCTGGTATTGTTCTATGTGATTGTCCGAGGGGCTGGTATTATTCTGAGATGTTGCCCGATGGGCGGATTTGTTGATATTATGCCCGATGGGCGACCCTTTATGTGTTTACTTTTCATAATTGACTGTAAATTATCTGCTTAATTATTGAAAAAGGCTTTTCATGAAACTACATTTGAGTTAAAGAGTTTTACCTATCTTTCACTGGTTTACTCATTTAAATTGTTTTACTGCTTCATTATAGGATGTTTTGTGCCTTACGTGATTTCTTGCTTTCAGTCTTTATTTACATTTGCTACTCACTGAGTTGGAGTACTCACTTTACTCTTTGCACCCCTGTGTGCAGATTCAGGCATTGTGGATCCTGCTAGTGCGAGTTGAGAGCTCTCGGTAGATATCGGAGTCCACGAGGTAGCTGTTTGACGTCTGCAGTTCCGTGTTTCTCCTCCTTTATCATTTCTATTTCTTTTCAGACATTTGTACTAGCTTATAGACTTAGCAGACTTGTATTATGACTCATAGATGTGCATGACTAGTGACACCCCGGTTTAGGGTTGTGTTGGGGATTATTTTCTGCAAATTATGTTTTTAATTGCTTAAACCTTGGTTTAATTGCCTATGCTTATTATTGTTTCTTAATGTTTAACTACTTAAAGATTGAACTGGGAGTAGTTGGCTGGCCTTGTCTTCACGAGAAGCGTCATCACGACCGGGTCCGGGTTTGGGATCGTGACACCACAAG